ACTATAGGCTGGGGGAGGAATGGATTGAAAGCAGCCCCGAGGAGAAGGACTGATCAGAGGGCTGGAGCACCTCTCCTATGAGGACAGGCTGAGAGAGAGTTGGGATTGTTCAGCCTGGAGAAGAGAAGGCTCTGGGGAGATCTAATTGCGGCCTGAAGGGGGCCTACAGGAAAGCTGGGGAGGGACTGTTTATCAGGGAGTGTAGTGACAGGACAAGCGGTAATGGGTTTAAGCTGAAGGAGGGTCGATTTAGATTAGATGTTAGGAAGAAATTCTTTACTGTGAGAGTGGTGAGGCCCTGGAACAGGTTGCCCAGAGAGGTTGTGGAGGCCCCATCCCTGGAAGTGTTTAAGACCAGGTTGGATGAGGCTTTGGGCAATGTGGTCTAGTGAAGGGTGTCCCTGCCCATGGCAGGGGGGTTGGAACTAGATGATCTTTGAGGTCCCTTCCAACCCTAACCATTCTACGATTCTATGAATCTCTTGAGAGATGCCTTTCTACTAACTACAGAGGCATCTAGAACAACTAATGTTCAACGCTTATGCTTAGATGAACAAAATGAATCCCAAGCATATGCTGAGATTTTTAAAATATCTCCACACTATTAAAATATAGCATTCTGGTACAGTGGCAACAACATTCTTCTCCAAGCCATTGTATATTCAGCAGCTATACCAAAAATGAAGTGGAGTAAAAAGTGGATTTTTTAATCCTTATTTTATTCAGACAGAAGTGATGAGAATAGTTACTCTACAGACTTGTACGACTGATTCAGATGGTCCTTACTTCCTCTTGGGTTTGAAGTATTTTCCTACTTTACATTTATCATTTATGAAGAACTATTCACTAAATTGATGCATAAGCAGAAATCATACCAAGGAGCAGCTCACATCACTGGCAAATCTGACACACTCTACCCAGTACATGTATATAATTGATCTGTAAATGACGCACTGCAAACAACTGTGACCCAGGCAAACTGTGTTCATATGTGTAGTCCATCCATCACGCACGCAGGTGATGTAAGACAGCTGTAGCACTGGGGTTCCAGTGCACGCACAAGAGAGTTGATCCACAAATGCATCTTTGAGTTTCTCCAGAACTTCCTGACATTTGGCAGGTCCAACTACCAGTAGGGCAATATATTGGCACTAAAAGAAACAGTCTATTGCCAAAAGCAGGAAAGCTGTCAAGGCTGTCAATTGACAGCAATATGATACAAGTGCAAAAGACTGAGGATCTTTAAAATCTACTAGAAGAACAGTGAGACTGGATGCACATAGAAATAGAACAACTAGAAAGGCAGGAGGCATATGAACTTTCAATGCAGCAATGACATTTCAGCTTCACTAGCTGGTGCACTATAAATCATCATAAATTCTGCATGGAATCACTAATTCAAGACACTCCAAGACCGACCATTTTCCTTTGCTGTGTTTCTGACATGTAAGTTCAATCCTGCTGCTACTGTTTGGGACTTTTCAGCAGGTGTACATGCAGTTTGCCAGAGAGACCATTCCAGGATATTTTGTACTAATTTATTTTCATGTATTTCTTAGAAAAATCTAAGATACACAGTTTTCCAAATGGAGAAGTTATGCCTCTGAAAAGCACATACAGGTTTCTTGGAGTGGCAAGTACATAGCATGGAGAACTGGGCAGACTGCTTAGGAGAAGAGTGATCAGAACCCCGGACAGGAGTGACTCACCAGTGATAACATTTATGGACCTCACAACACATCAAAGAACAGTGCGACAGAGCTTAACACTGCTTCGTTCTCACAAAAGGCTTTATAGGCAATAGCAAAGTATTTCTGAGGGAAGTGATACAATATTAATGAAGTATAGCTAAACTTCTCCCCACTATCTTCCCAGCTGTGTAGTGTGGACATCAGGTCCTTGGCAATAGCTGTTTCACTCCACTCCTCGTGTCCTACTTCTTGCTAACACAGAGGTAAGCCAGAGGACCAGAAGACAGGCCTCCTCACTCACCATCCTCTCACGCAACCAGAAAACTAGCCTCTTCTTCCCACATTTCTTTTCTTTGTCATGATACGAAATAAAATAAACCAGAAGCTGCTTGATATACTGAAGTGCTATTTCATCCTACTGAAAAAAATTAATGGCTGAAGTTAATTTAATGGCTCTTTCATTGCTTATCCTCTCAGGACTGCACACAGAAGATCCTGGCAGATGCTAAAGAAAATTCTTAAATTAAAAGACAAGGCTTGGGATGGGAGGAATTAATTATCTATCTCAACCTCGGCCCTGAAAAACAGACCAAAGGGGAGTGAGGGAGAATACATCATTCAAAGTGCGATAGAAGCCTCATATTTTCAGCAAAACTGCATAATCTACAGTTTGAAACTCTATTAAGCCTGGAGCCTGGAGTTGTTGACTGCCAATCAGAGACAGAGATTAATACTTCAGTGAAGTAAACAAGTCTGACTCAGCGGGCCATAAGCAGAGGCCAGATTTTGTACAGCAGTACTAACATTTTGCTAAGCAGCCAGCATTGTTCTTCGTGATTAGTACCAAGTGGGGAGAGGGAGAGACCTTCTCTTCTCCATGGTGAATTTCTGCCACATGGTCTCTGATATGCGGGGAGCCCTTGTCACATCTTGGTGACCCCTGCCTTTACTCTGGGACCCAGCAGATTTCTCTGACTGAAACACCAGGCTGTACTGAGCTATGCATGGAGCTGGTGCTGAGGCTGTATGGCCCAGGAAGAGGGATGCCACACATTGGGTCTGCATCCTCCCTCCTGAGCCGTGCCTGCACCTTACTGCGAAGGACAGTCTGCACTCAAATCGAGTTAGGTACTTACACACGTAACGCACAGTAACACTGCTGCAGCCCATGCCCCGGCAGAACAAATCAGTGGAAACAAAGCGATTCTTTCTTTGGAAGTGTGCCTTGAACCTGGGAAAGGCTTTGGAGCTTGGCAATAGCACATACAATACCACCTCACCCTCTACACAATGTGCTTTTCATAAAGCAAGGTGGCAGGACATTTTTCATTTTTGACCTGCAGATCTGACCCTTTCAACTGACACCTCACATAGAACCCATGTGGCCATCCACCTGGTCCATCTACAAGGAGCATGCCCAGAGAGGTCAGCTCCATGCCTACAAGGAGGTGCGCACAGGGTGTCCCTCACCATGGCTGAAATGAGACGTATATCCTGCGAGCATAGCCTTGTCAGGGTCACCATAAAACATCAACAGTTACCAATTTGTGCAACATGACATACTGCATTGCACAATACTTCAAAGTGAAAACACTGCACAGAATTGCAAAGACATCACTGTATCGTAGTAAGCTGCTTTAAATGGCACACACACACATATATATATAGCACAGTTACAGTATTGTTTGAACTACTTATAATGCTTAGAATGAGAGAATACGTAAAAGAACAGACCAAGCTTAAATTCCTCTTGAAGAAAGGAGCAGAAGAGGGTAAACACTGATATAATCCACTGATTTCAATACATTAACACCACATCCTAAATTGGTACAGTTTATATGTTGTAATTTAATTGCATAGAACTTGTACACAGAAAAACAGTTTCTTTTTTGAGCAGTTTGAGTATTTCACCTATCTCAGGATGAATTTAGACTACTATCAGACTAGTCTGACTAGATAAAATTACAGGTATTTAAATTATTATTTTCTAAAAACAGTTACAAATTGGATGCACAAAAACATTTTAAAATATTTTTTTTTTTAGATTCTCTACTACAAAACATTAGAGAATTGGGCATGTTTTGCAAACCATTACTCAGAAAATAAACTAAA